CGCCTTATAGAATTTCCATTGCTTTCTTTCTTATTCTTTTGCTCTTCTTTTTTTTTTTCACTTGGTTCATTTTTCAGGTGCAAATTTAGAAACGATAACGAATGGTATCAAGCGATACTTCTTTTGACAGTGTCGCTATGTTTCCTACTGGATGTTTCTATTCGCCTCAAATGCAAACCTCTAAATGGACTAATGAGGATCCAACATCTCGTCATATCAATGGCTTGGAAACCAAATATGATCCTACAGCAAGATTTTCACAAATGGATTCTACCAAATATTCATTTCAAAGTTCACCAAAATGTTCACTGGATCTAAAGTGCTCACAAGATGTACGATGGTCGTCGCATGCAGAATTCCCTTATCAACTACAATTTCCGCCAACAGTTACGGAAACCTATCCCACTGATCCTTTTCCATCAACATCGGTAGCATTCAAAATGGAAAATAGCTATTCATATCCCAGCACTGTTATTCCGCAAGTGTATACCCCGCAGTCTACTGACTATTTTACTGCTTCGCAACAATTTTCATCATTCAAGGTACTGTTTTACCGTACTTGCTATATTATCTTTATTTTTATTATTATTTTTTTTTTATCCTAGTTTTTTGTCAGATTCAAATCATTAATTGCAACTGTAATTTCTTTGTGGGTGTTGATGCAGCCGTCATTTTTGTACTGTTAAGCTTCTTAAATCTTAAATACAAATAAACAGTCGAATACTGTTTTTGAAGTGGTTAGAAGAAGGAAGAAAAATTAGCGGAGATATGTAGCAAAAAAAAAAAAAAAAATTGTTGCTGAAGTGCATCGATTTGAAAATTTTTGTTGTTGATACATCTACAATGCTATTACAGATGCCAACAATGAACAGCATAAATAGCGCTAAGATGGCTTCGTCAAATGCGGTGTCCAGCACATCAAATCTACCGTATCGGACGGGACCTGGAACAAACAGTAATTTAACACCTCTAATTTATTCCGATTATATAATTTATAAGTTTTTATCGCTTTGTCCAGAGATTTTTATGGCTCAAAGAAAGCATAATAAATTTGCATTTGCCTGGAAACAAGATGAGGTGCTCGTTGAAAGAAGCGTTACAGACGATTTTATCAACATCAAAGTGTTGCCGACTGATAACTGACTATAACTATTTACATCCAACTTGGCGTGCTTTACCTACTTCTCTTTGATTTTATGCCGCACTATTGGCAACCTAAACATTGTAAATTACTAAGCTGTGATAAAAAAAAATTGCATTTATTATTGAACTTCGATAAAAAAAAAATTTTTTTTTTCCAAAAGGGATTTACAGAATTGCGCAAATGAAAACTGGCAAAAAAAAAAAACTGCTACTGTTTCATTCTCTTGTTTCTATTTTTTTTTTATTTCAAAACTTTTGTCTTTAACATTCCTCCTTCAGCAGTTTCTACTTTTTCTTTGCCTCATCTTCTCCAGCATAATTTCGGGCTGTTGTTGAGACTCCAATACGGAAGAAAATTAATGCTACTGCATTTGTTTTTGTAATTTTATAAACCAATTAAATTTCAACAAAAAAATTTTCTTTTAATTTTTCTACTGTAATAAAAAAAAAAAAATGATAAAATTGAGGAAAAAAATGTTGTCAACTCTTTAACAAAAATTTTAAATATACAAAAGTGTAAATGCTGATTACTGCTTTTTTTTTGGTATACTTCTATTCTCTTTTTTATGTTTTGTTTTTGTTTTTGTTTTTTTTTTCTTTATTACTGTTCTATTTGGCTATCTTTCCTTTATTTTTATTTTTATTTTTACTTTTATTTTCTCCTTCCTTTATTTATCTATACGTTTGGTTTTTTTTTTTTTTGAATTACTGCTATTAAACAGCAGTAAACTGTAGTATATTTTTGATAACTACAAACTTCTTTTGTTCTTTCCATCGTATTCTTTCTTCTCCCAATCCTCCTCCCCAGTCCCTCTTCCTAAAAAAAAGAACCAACTTTACCTGTAATATTCATCGACGTCATTTGTGATATAGCTTAATTTTTGGTCTATACTAAACAGTTGAAGATGATGTAGCAGTTCAGTTAGTTTAAAATTTTTCAGTCATCTTTCTTTTCGGTGTTTGTTATGCAACCAACTTGTATACTATTCTTGCGTTTTATGCTCCAAAAAAGCAATGAACATGACATCAGCAACTACGTTAAGTTATCAGTAAATTATGTTGCTAAACCAAGAAGCAATTTTTCGGTCAACATTGATCTATCGGACACTGCGTTGACATAAAACAAAAATCTACCTACAAACCATTACT